AATAGGCATTTTCACATATGCAATCTCATTTATGCCTTCTGCCCCCTTGTGCGGAAGCATCCTGGATCCTGGACTCTCAATCCTGATTGCTTTGGGTCAAATCAAGACTCTTTGCTTGTTAGTTATTGTGTGATTTTGGCCCAGATGCTTAATTTTTCTGAACCTCAGATCTCATCCAAAAAAAAAAAAAAGGTAATCCTCTGAGGCAGATTGGAGAGTAAACTAAGCCAATGGCAGGTAAACCACTCAGCACAGTGCTTGGCGTAGAGTATATGCCAATAATTTTGACTGTTGTTTGGTGTTATCCTAGTTTTATGGATGAGGAAGACCTAAATGTAAAATAATTAACCTACATCAGATTAAAAGATGCTTTAATGGGCAAAAGATGTCTTCCTGGAGAAGCTTTGAGCAGTGTTTCTCTTACTTTTACTGAGAAAACTGGATGCGGACTCCTCCCTTTTTCCCCACAGACGATGCCCACTGGCCGGGTGTTTCTCCCTTCTCCTGGAGCTTCCTTTCTGTTGCGGGGAGGGGATGGCTGACAGTACAAAATATTTGAAAAAGCACGATCATTTTTTATCGTGATGAGTGCTATAAAGACAGTAGGACCAAGCTGTGTGATCCAGGCTGTGGCCAGGCTGTTTTAGCTAGGGCTGTCGGGAGTCTCCGAGGAGGTGCTGGGTGAGTTGAGATCTCAGTATGGCAAGGAGGTAGCCGGCCACTGGAAGATCTGGGGATGTTCCTGCTGGAGGGAACAGTGCGTGAAAGAGAAAGGAACTGAGCATGCTGCCTGCATGGAAAGCAGGCTTGTGTCTTTGCAGGGCATCAGCCGTCGTCGGAAATCCCTGGAGCCATGATAGTGAGTGTGCATGTCTTATAAGAGCAATGGGACACTCTGGAAGGGTTGAAGCAGGGAGTGACATATTCTCATCCTTCCTTTTAAATTCATACTGTTAGGATTCTACACAGAGGAAGTGAAAAGATTTGCAGAAAGTTTTGTGTAAACCAACTTGAATGAAAAAAATAGAAAAAGACGTGAGGTCAACTTGATGTAAATGTTTTTATCGAAGGGTGAGTGGTTTTCTAATGTGAACTTCAGCATTTGACATTACTGTACTTTGTAAACATCCCTATGGCTAATCCAGATTCTTGGGGACCCATTTTAGGTCCTGCCTCTGCTGTCAAATTCTTTTCACACCATTCTTTTCCACCTTTTTTTTTTTTTTTTTAATACTTTCATTCTTTATTCTTTCCTTGTTTTGTTCTTTCATCTCCTGGGCAGCCCTTGTTATCCTGGCCTTTTCCACTGCTCTTTGAAGAATCCTAACTCATGGGCAGAATGCTACTGTAATGTTAAAATTCAGACTCTTTCAACCTGGCGTTCGAAAGTAATCAGTTTATCAGTCTTTTTTTTTTTTTTTTTTAAAGATTTTATTTATTTATTTGACAGAGAGAGATATAGCGAGAGCAGGAACACAAGCAGGGGGAGTGGAAGAGGGAGAAGCAGGCTTCCTGCCGAGCAGGGAGCCCGATGTGGGACTCGATCCCAGGACCCTGGGATCATGACCTGAGCCGAAGGCAGACGCTTAACGACTGAGCCACCCAGGCACCCAGTTTATCAGTCTTGTAATCCATCAACATCCAGTACCTTTTGCGTGCCAAATTCTGCACCCATCTTTTATCTTTGTGATAATTAAGTGAGCTGTTCTTGTTTTGCTAAGAGCACCCCATAGATGTGTCTTTTGAGAACTGCTTTAGAACTCTGCAATTTTTATAAGGTCTAATACCACTCTCTTTGGGACCTCCTAGGTCAATCAGGGCTTCTTAAGGAAGCATCAGTTGGAGAACAGAATAAATATGCTGTCTGGATCGAACCCCCCTTAAATCCAATTTTTCCCAGCTCCCCTTCAGACAATCTTTTTGTTTCCCACAATAATCAGCTATTTCTCAGAGACTCTTAGTGTGGGGGATCTGTGAAGTGTTTTCAATCTGTGAGACTCTGGGACGCCTTTGTGGGGATGTGCTTGGCCTGCACAGTGTTGGTATTAGGGTAATGAGACCGTGAGAGGACTCACTTCTCTGTACATTGGCAAATAGAGAAAGGTAACCTTGTAATAGAAAAAAATCTCAGAGGGGAAAGGAATAATAAAATCAAGCTGGGTTATGGTTTGTCAGTCCAAAAAGCTTTTAAGCCATATCTATAAAGGTGGATTCACTTAATGTTTGCTCTGCATTTCAGACATCATTGTGTGATAAGTGGTGTAAATTTAGCCTCTTTAAGCCTGATCTCCTAGGGGTTGAGTTTTAAGCATTGGAACTTTATTTGAAAGGGCTCTATCGATTGGGTTTTTATTTGGTCCCTCCATACTAAAGAGAGGTACTAAATAATGGTTTGGCCGCCCTGTTAGGTTTTTTTTTTTTTTTAATTCACTTTATAGGTCTCTCTCTCTGCCTCTGTTCTCCACCTTCTATTTCTAACTGTTTTCCTTAAAAAGACTAAAGTGGTACGAGAGAGGGGGGGAAAAAAGGGAAAGAAAAATCAACTGTCACATTGTGAACATAATTGATTCAATAAATAATGTCTTTCAATTCCCAAGGCCGACCTCACAGTCTTCACTTACGTCAGTTAGTGTTCAGCTCCATAAGTGGTGGCATTCTTCTTAGGCGAATGGGGAGAGTTCACCGGTGCTCACTTCCTAAGAAGGGAGTGTGCTTTCCTGTTTTTAAAGACATACCGCCAGATTTATGCGAAAAGGAGGTTGCAGCGGAATCAACGTGGCTGTCCTTATTCTTCCTGAAAATAGAAGGAAGGCATTTAATTATTGTTCAGGGTTTTGTTGAAACAAACAAATAAATGGAAACAAGGGGAATGAAAACTACTAGATTGTAAGCTCAGTGTTGGCGGGGGCTTTATCTTGTTTGTTCACCATTTAATCTCCAGTGCACACAGTAGGTGCATAATATTTGTTGAGTGGATTTGTTGATGAGTGAATGAGAGCAGAAATGAGAGCATTTAGATCTTAGGGTAAGAATGAGGTTAAATTTCATTGCACTGGTGGTTTTGTCCCCACTCCCCTCCCCCTCCCCCTAATTCTTTGCGAGGAGAGTAGCTCTAAGAGTACCAGAGGGCAGTGTGTACCGTATCTTCCGAAATGCGTTCTCAGACTGGCAGGGCTGGGAGGGATCTTCGAGGTGGTGTCAGGCTGCCATTCACAAATTCTAGTAAATGAACCGGTTGGGCTTCAGAACCACATGAGGTATGTTACAAATCTACAGGTTCCAGGCCCCAGCCCCAGAAATGCGGACGGTGCGGCTCTCGGGAAGGCGTGGGGATCCCTCTGTGCTTCTGTGGGTTCCCCTCCAGGTGCTGGCGTGCAGCTGCACTCCCCCTTTGGCCTTGCCGTCCCCTCAGCTCTGAAGGAGCATCTGAAACCTCAAGGATATGTTACATTTTGTTTGGTGTACTCTGACACTAAATATATTTTATGGTCTTCTCTGGAGGCTCACTCCCTTGCTTTGGCACAAAATAACCCCTCAGTAGGAAGCCCCAGTCTTTTCTCTTATAGCTCCCTCAGTGTTTACCACACCTGCCCTATCACAGGTATCACCCGGGTGCTTGCTAAAGGTGCACAGCTCTGGGGCCTGCTTGAGGTCGTCCTGTATATTCAGTTTCTGTGAGCGGTCTGGGACCTATGTTTTAAGTTAGCTTAGATCATTCCTATTCCCTGTAAACTACTTTCTAGTCCCTGAGAACAGTGTCTCCCATTCCCACCCCACCCTACCGCACCCCCTCCCGCCCCAGTCCCAGATCCAGCTCTGACTTCCTTAAAACTCTAGCTCATAATTACATCATCATCCTGTCTTTCTACGTGAAGGTTTATCCCCTGGTCTGCAGAACTTGTTCTTGAAGGAGGAAAGAGGGAATATCTGCTGTCCTCCTTCCTCCGGGGCTGGCAAGGTGGGTGCGTGGACAGGTGGGGATGTGCAGTCATGGAGTTGAGCACGTGAGAAGGGGCAGGGGAACCTTTGAAGCCAGAATAGAGTGGCTCTGTTCTCTCCTTGTGTTGTTACTCAACAGATGTATGATTTTGGGAAGATTGCTTGAACCTCTTGGAGTTACTGTTTCCTCACCTGTAAAATGGGAGTAAGAATAGTACTTGTTCAGGGGTTTGGTGTGTATTAAACTCGGTGTCCCAGGCTGGCTCTTGGGACCACAGACTCAGAGACAGAGACTTTTGTGCAGAGGGTGACTGCCCTCGGGAACAGCCCTTGTGAGGGAGTGGGGGAAACGGAATCAGGCAGGAGGGGACTTCGAACTGTGGTGATGGAGCAGTGAAGGTCTCAGCTGATCCCATGGGGACCTCTAGACCTGGGGTGTCCTTCAGTTGTCCAGAGTGGAGGGAAGGAGGCTGGGCCTTCAGGCCCCCATATCCACCGGTCCTTGGATGTGGGTGGCCCCTGGACAGGGGACATGAGCTCAGGTAAGGCAGCTCCCTTTGGCTGAGGGTGGCCGCGCCCCCAGTGCTGGCAGGTGGGGAAGGGGTGCCCAGGTGCTGGAGGGGTCTCCGCGGTACACCCTGCACCCATTACCCAGGACCACGCTCATGCAAACCCAGGCAGCCAGTGTAGCGCATTCGTAAGTGCTCAGTAAGTACTCATTATTGCCATTATTATTCCAGCTCTGGCAATGCCCCTTAGCAGCTGGGCCACTTTCAAGAAGTGACTTACCTTCTCTTGGCCTGTTTTCTGTTGTTTAAAATGGAGATTCTATACTCTCCTGAGTCTGCTTCCCTTGACTAATTCTGAGCCCATATAGAGAAAATGGATGTGAAATTGGTGAGAAAAATATTATAAAAATGTAAGGTATGACTATGAGCTTACTTTTCTGAAATGAGTATAGGGCCGCGACTTGGATTTCTTGAAGGGAAAGGGTCGTGATGAATGTAAAAGTGTTTGTCCACAAACTGTGGCGTTCTGATGGTTCTTTCTTCTCTCTCTAGGGAATTAGAATAATGGAGATGCTGCTGAAGGAACAGTGTGGTGCCCCCTTAGCCGAATAAAGAATCATCAGTGAGTACCGAAAGCAAAATCAGAATTATTTACTCCAGCCATGTTTTCATGCCTTTAAAGCCCTGTATGATGCATTGGCCTCCCTGGGCTACTCATGCTGTACATTTCCCAGTTACGGGCAGAGCATACTGTTTCACAGGTGTTTTGTTATCTCTTCAGCACCTTCATTTACTTTGTTTCTTTGATTTCAGAGCAGTTTGGTACCACGTACTGGGTTACAGCTGCATTCAAATTGTTTAAACTGCTCAGCACAATCCAGCGTGATTGCGACCCTCAAGGTGCCATAGATTTGTAGACTGTGGTTCAGGATTAACAGAAACTTAATTTTATTCTTGGAACAATGAAAGGAGGGGTTTAAAAGCTGTATTTGAAGCAGAAAGAGAAACAAGAAAGGGGCATGTTCTGATTGGCCAGTGAAATGAATATATTTTATTGGTCATCAGTACTTCCACTGGTTGGGAGTGGCTACCTGAAACGCTATGGAGAAGGGTTCTGGCAGCTTGAGAATACTTGTGGGCTCTGGGTGAGGGTGCTGTGCGTGACGAGCACCGTGTGTGGTCCGTAGAGCATGGGGGAAAGGCACTTGGCACCTCGAATTGAGGACAAATGCTGCCGGCGTCACAGGTAGCGGGGGGGTTTTAGAATTAATTTTTTTTTTCCTTAAGTTTTTATTGTCTACACGAAGGAGAATGGTCTCTATAGTGGAAAGGACAGAACAAAGTTATTTAAGAGAGAGCCAGAGCCTAAAATAAATGAGTGTAATGGATTTGCCTCTTACCAAATTTATTGGACTTGGATTTTTAACATCTGAGAAGCAACTTTGGACTCTAATTGTGATATACAATACAGTTTGAGAACAATTAACCAAAGAAAAAGCAAAATGAACATTTATGTACAAGTTCTTCGGCATTGAACACACGCTAGCCAGCCCTGTGAATAGATTTATTCATGACTGGGGAGGCTAAATAAGATAATTTCATTTAGCACAAGCACAGCACATGGCAGGTGCTCAAAAATGTTGAATCTAAATATGCTGTGTTCCTACGTCTACTCTGTTCTTTGAACAAAATTCTTGAGGCATTTTTGTGAGGCTCACCAAGTAGCTCTAGAGCTCACGCACTTGAGTGCGGATCCCATCTTACTCCTAAGGGTGAGGTCTAAGGTCAGCTCCAGGTTAAATGAGAGAATGTGACAGGACTCCACTTATAAGTAAACATTGGTTTTCAAACTTCAAATTAATGATTTGGAACGTCCTTGAATATCAGAATCATCTGGAGGATTTGTTAAACATAGATTGGTGGGTCCCACTCTCAGAGTTTCTGAGTCAGTAGATCTGGGGTGCTGTCCGAGGATTTGTAGTTCTAGCAGGCTCCCAGGTGATGCTGATGCTGCTGGTCCAGGGCCCACACTGAGAACAGTTGCTTTAAATGACGTCTTGTCTCTGAGTAGAGACAGATGATGAAATACAAGGGCACTGAGGAAGCTAATAGCTGGCGTTTTCAAATTGTTGTCATGTATTTTGTTGTCTTTAATCAGAGGAATGATTTTCTTGTATGGCTTTTCCCTGATTTTAGCATCTCACTCACGTCCTGTTTAACTTTTTTTTTTTTTCTGCTTAAATGGTGACATGCTCCACACTGGAGGAAAGACAACTGAAAAGAACAGAGATGACACTCACAGCAACTCGTGTTTTTGATTTTAAGTGAAATGAGGAAATCAACAAGTCTCACCTATTGTCATAAATTACCCATGCTCTTTTCATTTGTTTATTTGTTTTGTTTTTACTGTGGTTGAAAGCTGAGTCATGAACTCGGGGCTTTGCATTGTTTCTAAAAGCAACTTGTTCTCCTCTTTCAAGTGAAGTGGTTGAGGTCTGGGTACTACCAGGAGTTTAGTGTGGGACAGTTGTATTCAGAGCGTTTAATGCAACAGAGGTTTCGAAGGATTTACATAATTCAAGCTCTCTTAATTCATGACCCAGGGGGGCAAATGTGAAGTAACGGATATGTACTCTTACCACATAAATCTAATCCAAATTAGAGCCTGTTGCCGAGGCTTTAAGGACTTTTTCAATATCCACTTTATTGAAGTATTATTTATGTACAATTAAATTGACCAATTTTAAGTGTACAGTTTGGTGGGTTTTGACAAATACATAGTTATGTAAGCATCGCAAAAAAGATGATATAGAACATTTTAAGGCTTTGATGTTGCTGCCGTGTTTTTGCCAGCTTATTGCTTCCCTTTTTCTTCTTGACTATTATTACAGAGTTTTGGCAAGCTTGAAATATGCCTGTTCTAATGGAACTTCTTTTCTCAAAATTGGCTCTATGGAAAATGGGAGGATTGTTTTTATGAGCAATAAAATGTCACATTTAAAGGAAGGGGGTAGATATCAGGTCTAAGGCTGTAGAGGAAGAGTCAGTCAGTTATTGCCCTCAGGCCAAATCCAACCTGCTATCTGCTTTTTAAATAAAGTTTTATTGGAACACAGCTCTGTCTCTGGCTTTCTTATGGCTGCAACACCGGAGTGAATAGCTGTGACAGAGCGCTCCTCTCCTGCAAGGCTTAAAATATTTCCTGTCTGGTCTTTTAAGGAAAAGCTTTCTGTCCCCTAGGTTCGAGCATGCCCCATCCTCAGTTATAATCAAGGAGCCTTGTGGTGGTGGTTTACCTTTTTGATATGGCATTGGATATGTATTTAAAGGTAATAGTGTGACGGTTTATTTTCTCTGTATTAGCTCTAACCTCACCACCCGGATGATTTTATTTTAAGGCCTAAAAAAGCATTGAAATTATCACAACAATGAAGTTAAAATAGCAGCAACCGTCGTCATTACCATTGTTCATGAAGTTCCGGTGCACGTGCGCAAGGGAGTAGAACAGTAGGCATTTTGTTTAGCGGATAAAGCAGCTCTGTGATGTGGCGGAGGTCTAGGTGCTGTGTACAGCGGACTCAATTTGCCAGTTTGGGAATTTTGCAGTTCTTAATTAAAAAGAAAAAAAAATTCTGCGGGATTTGGATGAATTTGCATAGGGAGACATTTACTATTTTTATATCATACCCCATTTCACATTTGCATAATTTTTTTTAAAGATTTTATTTATTTGAGAGAGAGAGAATGAGAGACAGAGAGCATGAGAGGGGGAGGGTCAGAGGGAGAAGCAGACTCCCCGCTGAGCAGGGAGCCCGATGCGGGACTCGATCCCGGGACTCCAGGATCATGACCTGAGCTGAAGGCAGTTGCTTAACCAACTGAGCCACCCAGGTGCCCACATTTGCATAATTTAAATTCACATAGATTGTGACCACCTTGTATATGGTGCCCAGTCCTCAAGATACTCCCCAGAACTCTCTCTGGCCTGTGTATCTACGTGGGCATTTGAAAATTAGAAAGCTTAGAAGGTGATTTTGTCACGAGCCAAAAGGGAGGTACATAAATCTCACTAACCAATATGCTTGTGGTGTTGCAGCTGACACATCCATCTGATAGATTTTTGATTTCCTGTCATTTTTGAATAAAACAAATAGCCCTGACATCTGTTTGTTCTTCCACTGGCAGTTGGGAGACGGGGCTTGGTGAGGTTTGATAACATAGCAGAGTTCTTTCACACTGGAATGATGAAGCCCTCAGCTTTAGGTCTGTCTTAACTCCCCTTTGAACCAGCTCCTCTGGGTCACTGGACTTAATAAAATAAGATGCCAGCTTTGTTCGAAGATCATCAGGAGGCAGAAATGCAGTTTCTTCAAGAATTATCCATAGTGATAGCATTCAGGTGACTTTTAAGAGTTGCTTCAGAAAAGAGGCAAATAAGTATTGATTGGCGAGACATGTTTATTAGGTGATAAAGCCTGTTTGCTTTCTGTTGCAGGGGAGCTGTGTTGTGCTACTTCTGCTCGGGGATCACTTCTTGGCCATAACACATCACTGATGCATGCAGTTTTCCAAATACAAGCTTAAGGATACAGTGTCGGCAGCTTAAAGAAGAGGAGGCCTTCCTGCCAGGACGTGAAACGATATCCTCCCCTGGGAGCCTGCCTCAGATAGTGGCCCTCTTGGATATGAGACCTTCTAGATGGACTTTTATGGCACAGTGTCTTTATGATTTACAAATAAAGGAAAAAACCCATAGAAGGTGACGTCTGCCTTCTTCAGGATGTCTTGCTGATTGCCTGGTGACGATGTCAGGGAAGCAAAGGACAGGCTAGAGGCCTGGCGAGTGGCATTTTGCCCATGTTATCAGCATCATAGGATTCATGAGAAGATTTTGGGACAGATAAAGGAGTTGAACCTGATGCCTGATGCATGGGTGGCCTACAACAGAAAGGAATGTAGCAGGCCTGTGTTGAAGCTAAGCCATATTTAAGAGTCTCGTGCTCTACCGACTGAGCTAGCCGGGCGGATGAAGCTAAGCCATATTTAGAGTCATATTTGATTCTCAGAAATCGGGAGCATTTGATATCTACCCATAAGTACTACCTAAGGGCCATCAGTATAGATTCTGTAACGTAACGTGTCAGCTGTGTCATTTGGTCTCCTGGAAGAACATGGCGTGGGGAGCGGGGAGGCAGCGTGTAACTTCGGCATTGTGAGATGTGGAGCAGATCGTTAGCCTCTCTGTGTTTCACTGGCAACGGGGCAGAGCTGGGCACAGATGTCTCTGTCTCGTGATGATTAAACACGGAAGGGCGGGGGGGGGGGAGTGTGAAAAGCACAGTTGTGGGAATTCGACAGACCTGTGGGTGCAAGTGTTGCCGCCCACCAGCTCCATGATCGATCAGGTACATAATTTTCAATATTTCTGAAGCTCTTTCTTTTTAATTGTACAACGGGGTTATGGGATTAACTTCGTGAGGTTGTTGGACCGATTTGAGGTCATGTCTATCAAGTGCAATATGCTACCTCTTGCAGAGTAGAAGTCTTGTAAACAGAAGTCGTTATTATGTGAAACCATTTTGCAAATGTACTTTCCAGATGCATTGTAGGGTAGTATTACTGTTTGAAAGTTAGGTGACAGTAGTTTGCATTTCCCATGATTAGAAGCCAAAATATTAACGCACACTACCTAACCGAAAGCTTGAAGAGAGGCAATAATTTGGAATTTATCTGATTAAGATAAAAATTGGGCCATTACTGGAAAGACTTGGGGAAATCGTTCTTTTTTTTTTTTTTAATATTTGAATATTTTTCCACTTAGTGCAGTGATGAATTTCAAAACAATTTTATTTGTTCATTCAGGCCTGCCAGTGTGAGCTTCTTCTTACTGTGTTTGAGCTGTTTATGCTGCTTGAGTTTTGTCCCTTAGGATAATTCTTATTTTTTTAGTGTTTCATTCTTCAGGTGTGTTGGAGGGAAAAGGAATGGTAGAAACCAGAACACACTTTGACTTCCTTTTCCAGTTTGTAAATGGCATTTGGTAGGCTTTTGGAATAATATCCCATTTCACAAAATAAAAGGTGATGTAAATTATCACAAAGGTGAGAGGTTAGAAATCCATATTTGGAGGTTGACATTGGAATGAACTTACTGCTTCACACTCAACACTGTGCATCTTCCGAAGGCAGGAGTTCTCAGCCTTGGGTGTTCATTAGAACCACCTGGGGAGCTTTATGCACCATCTGCTGCTGCCCGGGGTTACGTCCCAGAGCAATACAGCAGGATCTCTGGGGCTGGAACCCGGTGTCCGTATTTTCTTTTTTTCTAAAAGATTTTATTTATTTATTTGACAGAGAGAGAGAACACAAGCAGGGGGAGTGGGAGAAGGAGAAGCAGGCCTCCCGCCGAGCAGGACGCCCGATGCGGGGCTCGATCCCAGGACCCTGGGATCATGACCTGAGCCGAAGGCAGACGCTTAACAACTGAGCCACCCAGGCGCCCCCGGTGTCCGTATTTTCTAAAGCTCCCTAGGTGGTTCCAATAGGCAGCTAGGGATGAGAACGCTATAGTGAATTCTAGGTGATTTTCTTATCTGATTTCTTTCTCAACACTTCTAAAGTAGGAAAGGATCTTTGTAGCAAGAATTTTTGTTAGAACTAGAAAGAGTGAAGCACGGAGAGGCTGAATTTTTGCCCTAATTGCCTGGAGCCGGGGTGGCCAGTGCAAATGGCTTTGGGCACCAGTCAGGTGATCTAATGAGTCACGCGGGCAGGTGGCCGCTGCGAGACGGTGGGGCTGCACACCTTTTAAAGGTGGGTAGCTGCTGCCCAGGTCCTCCACACTGTGGCCATGTGGCTGGCCTTTCTAGCGACTCCACCAGTTTGCTAGGAAAAGACAGATTTTTTTAAAGAAAAGAATTCTCCCAGTTTTTATAGGTTAGCAATAATTCGGAATTGTTTAAAACTTGTGCCGGCCATACAGAATGTGTTTGCCAGTAGTTTTCAGTCTCTCCCTTGAGAGCGTTAAAGCTTAGCTTAGGGCGCCTGGGTGGCTCAGACGGTTAAGCGACTGCCTTCGGCTCAGGTCATGATCCTGGAGTCCCGGGATCGAGTTCCGAGTCGGGCTTCCTGCTCAGCAGGGAGTCTGCTTCTCCCTCTCCCGCTCCCCCCTCTTGTGCTCTCTCACTCTCTCTCTCAAATAAAAACAAAAAATTAAAAAAAAAAGAGTGTTAAGGCCTAGCTTAAACACCCCAGCCAATTTTTAATAGATTTGCATTTCCCCATTCTGGATGTAAGCTGCATTCTGCCTCTCCTACAAGACTGCTTTGATATGTATTTTCTTCCCATTCCCAAGAAATCCTCTGGTCACTCAGTATTTTATTTTTATTTTTTAAAATTTTATTATGTTAGTCACCACAGTATTTTTTTTTAAACACTCTGCAGGCATCCATTGCTTTGACCTTCACATATATGGCTTAGAAATCTTATGCTCTTTTTAAAATTAATTAGAGCTTGTTAGAGTTTATTTTTATTATATGTCAGAATCCTTTTCCTGTGATAAGACTAATTAGAAATGTCAAAACCAGGAGTAGTACCACCTTAACGGGCATATTAGGAACAAGTGCGGGAAGGGGTTAATTCACAGGCCTGGCCAGTTACCTCCTGACTGGGTGGCTGAGCCTACACTTCATTTTTTTTTTTTTTTTTTACAGTAGCCTCCACACATAGCATGGAGCCCAGCATGGCGTTTGAACTCACAGCCCTGAGATCAAGACCTGAGCTGAGATCAAGAGACCCTTAACCAACTGAGCCACCCAGGCGCCCCTGAGCCTACACTTCAAGGCGATGATTTTGTAGAGTGATTCCCACACTTCTCCTTGTACCAGAAATCCTCGGGGAAGAGTGCGAAACTGTAGGCTCCCAGACCTTCCCCCAGAGATTATGATTCAAGGAACTTCACTTGGAACTGGGGGATCTACATTTTAAAGCGAATTTACCAGGAGATTCAGTCGTGCTGTTCCACAGACCGTATTTTGAGAAACACTGATTTCAAGGGCCATGTTGTTGCCCTCTGTGTCTCCTATCATGTAGAAAGATTTTGCAGTCATTTGGGCCCACTGATCAATAGAATTGACCGCTCAGGACACAATATAAAGTCCTTATGCAGAGATAAGCTGACTGAGGCTATCCCTACGTGATTGAGGTGCTTTTACCATGAAGGGGCTTTTATGGTTTCCATCATGTGTGGATAAAAAAGGTGCTGTATTATTTTTTATAAATTGTGTATTTTATAAGCAGTATATGTGTGGTAATAATATCCCATTTGTCAGACATTGTGGGGTACACGGTGTCGACAAGTCAAGGTTGTTCTTTAAGTTACACATCTTTTTTGCTTTATTTGAGCCATTTACATTGTAACTCTTAGTGTACATTTCCCTGCTTTTGTGAACAATCTACTAAAAATAATGAAAAAATCTGAAGGTCATCCTTTATGTTTTTCATTGCTTCAGGCCCCCTTTGGGTTTGTTAAAGCCCCTCCACCGAATGGCTCTGCTCTTTGAGCTCTGCAGTGGTTACTCTCGCCTGCCTCTAGGAAACTTCCTCTCGTTCTCTCTGGGGTTGGGAACTCATGTCACTGCATACTGTAGGTCTCAAGTAACACTAAACAGGATCTGAGTGAGGCTTTGAGGGGCTTTCCTGAGAATAGTGAAACGAATGAATGTTGCTGCATTGATCTGGTGATGGGATTTTTCTATTTTCCTATAGCTTCCTGATTTCTCGACTACACTTGTCAAATCTTTGACCTCAAGGTAAGTGAGATGTTGCTACGGATGATGTCTTTTGATCTAGAAGCCGTTGTCTTCCCCAACTGTGTTCGTGTTTTTATATGTACAGTTGTATAATGTGAAACGTAAGTAAGTTAAATTCAAATGAACATTTCTCAGGCCACGTTTTTGTGCAGGATAAAAAGTATTGCTGGTTCAGTATTATTGTGATTTGGAGCTATCAATTAGTTGTATAGCTATGAAATTCAATCCTGTAGACATTCTGAAATAAAGGTGTTACGATTAATACTTATGCATGATCTTTAGTTTCTTGGGGGTATCACGTCACCCAGCAGAGTTTGTGTTTATCGTTGGTAGTGATGATCCTCATCCTGTACAGCAGCCCCACATGCGGGTGTTAACACCCACCATAGGATGTTAGCCCCCCGCTTCCCCCAAGGTGAGCCGTTAACATTTCTCCCAGAAATAAGCAGAGGCTCCTTTTATTGGGTGACCCGAGGGGGCCATGTGCTAATGGGGCAAAGGTCCAGGGTGGGCCGAGAGAGAAGAAATGAAGCACAGCACAGACACACAGCAGCGTGGAGTCACATGATCCCCCAGAGGGCGGGAGACACAGCCCCTGCTTGAGTTGTGAGGCTCAGCTCTGCCTTCTGTACTTTGTTTCCATGGGAGTTCTGTGAGATCCTTTCCCTTGTCTGCTTTTCACTTGGATGAATTGGAGTGGCTTTCTGTGCTTTGCTTCCAAAATGCCCTGTCCACGCCCTGTCAATGCTTTTCTTTCATTAGAGCCCGGGTCCTTAGTTCAACCAGCATTTACGGAGCACCTATTGTGTTCAAGCAAAAGGCAGGCTTTACCTTCTGTTTTGACTTGACCCAGGGGTTTCTAAGAGGCCGGCACTGACATTCTATGGACAGATGGCAGCGGTGGGCACCAGTTGATGTTAAGACCAGACGCATGTACCTCCTGAGTAAATCAAACAATGGCTGCTTACTTAAGGGATGCCGAAAAAAATCAGCCAAGGACATGCAGTGGAGACACCAACACATAAATGGATAGCTCGGTGGCCCTGAAGCCTCACCAGCAGATTGCACGGTTGTGGATGATCCTGTCTGAATTAGTGAGGGGACACATCATACTTTTTGGAAGATAACCAGTTCTCTCTAGGATCAGCCTTATATGTAGAAGGGTGGAGCTGCCCTGTAGGAGACTGCCTCCTCCTCTGAGCCACCTAGGAACTTCGCATCGCATAATGCTTGCTGGGTACAGGATATTCAAGCATAAACATTTTCTATTTTCAGACTGTTCTGACTATCACAGCCTGGTCCAAGGGCATTCCTGAATTCATGGCTGCAGGGTAGTGTTTCCCTGATGTCTGGGTGAGGCATGCTAACTCCTGCAAACCCCAGAGAACCTTTGCACAAGCATTGGAGAGATTGGGGCAGGTAGAGAGGTGGAATCCTAACAATGACAAGCCCGGTGTGATGGGGGCTCAGAATAGAAATTTTATTAACTTATCACAACAATTTCTAGAAATGTAAAATGCAATTTTTAAAACTTTAAATGCAGTATTTCTTGCATACCTTGATGGCTGATCGGAACCCCCTGGGTAGCTTTAAAACACACTGATGCTTGCGTCCCATTCCCAGAGATTCTAGGTCACAGTCCTGGCATCTGGATTGCGTAAAGCTCCCCAGCTGATCCTGAAGCCATGCGTGGAAATTCCTACCACCTTCAGAAATAATGTCTCTTCTTCCATAAGTGGGAACCCTTACGTAGCTAGCTGGAGGAGGGAGTTGGAAATATGAGACCTCTCCCTTTTGGTGAATTTTGCCTCTAGGCCTTCAGAAAAATGTAATTTACTGTCCAAGAAAAAAGTGCTGTGGTGTCTCTTAAATGCTAGTAGAAGAAAAGCGATCCTAAAAACACTCTACCAGTGCCGTTAGCTTTGTTATGATCAAAAGTTTGAGTTGCATTTGTTGGAACAGAATCCAGTGCAGAAGAAGGATGCCGTAATAACTCAAGACCCTTGCTTGTCTCGAAGGGTTAACCTGAGACCTTGCACTGCTGGACCCTGAGATGCAGCTCTCTAAGCTGTGGCCAGGCCTGCTGTGCAGGAGGTGCCAGGCAGAAAATAGCAGCCCCCATCCTGGTAAATTAAACTCCATGGAGCTATTTGCTGGAGCTATTCGGAGAAGGTTACAGCCATTTCGTGCCTGACATCTGTTAGGCTGCTGATGGAATCATTCCTTCTTTGTGTTGGTGCCAGGCTGAACTTTTAGATCTGACAACGAAGGAGAAAATGTGAACTGTTCACTTGTATGTTTTTGTTTTTTTATTGTGAGTTTAGATGTCCCCCTAAATTCAAAAGTCCATCAATTGGGCCAACTTGGAAATGACCGCATTGTTGATTTTCTTTAGAGGTTTAGGGGAAATAACTTTTCGGACTGAAGCTTCTCTGTTATTTGTGTTTAGAGATGTAGTCATTAATCTCATCAAAACCAAAGTCATTCTTGTCAATCTGTCAAAAAAAAAAATTTCCCTGGTCTCTAGGACATAAAGCACCCAGAAAGAATTTAATGAATGAATTAGCCCAGAGTCTAGTCTTTGTCACTGGAAACAGGATATGGGGCCAGGAGAGGGAGAGAGAAAGGGAGAAAACCTATCAAGGTTATAGCTGTCACTGAGTAGGTTAGGGTGACCATGAGGAAATCTTGGTTGTCTGGTACTTTCTTGCACA